GTTATGGCCAGCTGTGAAGCTGGCATATCAGGTGACGTCACGGTTGACGTTCCTGTGTAGCATGGGCTAGCCCAACCAAGGGATAAAATTGTATAGGCATGAGGGTTCAGGGTCTTTTATCCTCCATGCTGCCTGCGCGCAGGTTTGGGGGTGGAAGATGCCTGGACGTGTAATGTTAATTTTGCCTGTGATCCTTTGAATAAACCAGCACGGTTATCCAAGTGGTCCGTCTTGTCTCTCTGAGTTCCTGGTTAAAAGAACTGGGCAATATCTTTCAGTAGCTATCAGCATGTATCAGAATCAGAAACAGCTTTATTGGCCAGGTGTGTCGGACGCACGAGGAATTTGACTTTGGTACATCGGCTCTCAATGTGTATATACATATCCCCATGCAAGGGGCATTTAAACAGTAAACCAGCATAAGGCTGTGTAATATAACAAAATAAGCAGTATAACAAGCAACAAACACTGCAAACAATGCAAAATAAGCAGTATAGACAGGCAGTAAACAATACAGACAGACAAAGTCATAGTTAAGTGTTCATCAGAGTGATGGTGCGGGGGAAGAAACTGTCCTTGTGTCTGGTTGGTTTCGCGTACAGTTACCTGTAGCACTGTCCAGAGGGGAGGAGTTCAAACTGTTTATCAGCTGGCACAGGATGTACATCCTCTGCTATGCTGCACCATATGGCCAGCTGTTCAACCTCCCATCTGTAGGCCGACTCATCATTGTCATGGTAGCTGTACAGCACGGACTTTCAGGCAGGAGGGGGCCATGCTGTCTGGGCCTCTTCACATACTGTATAATCAGAGGTGGGGGCTGGGGGAAAGGGAGGTGATCATGGAGGGAGGAGCTGCAGGTTGTGGGTCCAATGTGAGGTGGGTGAGGGGTATGGAGTTCTGCATCTCAAACCTGTAGTAAAACTCATTCAGCTCATCTGCCACTCAATGTCCCTGCTGCTGAAGGCCTCCTTTTTGGCACAGTGAAGCTGTCAGAGCTGAGCTGTGAACCAGGGCATGTTGTTATATGTGCAGAATGTCTTGGTGGGCACACACATGTCCTCACAAAAGCTGATGTATGATGTCACAGTGTCATCTATGTCTTGTTAGGTATTTTTAGTCAGATAGATATTGGATAGATACTTTATGTATTAGAAATGTTTAGTGGAGATAGGATGTCTAGTTAGACTGTTAAATGCTTAGTCATGCTTATGAGTTTCTACAGGGTACATCTGGTCAAGGATAACTAGAGAGAAGAGTTGATGACTGTCAGCAGACAGGATGTTTAATATTATTATTATGACGTGTAGAACTGTAGCCTTAGCCATAATATGTTCTTATGTTTAAGTCACGACATGTTCTAGAAGTCTGTGAGAATGTTTTTAGCTACACACCACTTAATCAACAGACACACACACACATTGATTTGCTTCATGTTTTGACTACTGCTATGACCAGCTGCAAAGCTGGTAACAGAGACGTCTCAGTTGACGTTTGCAAGATACCTGAGCGTGTAATGTTAATTTTACCTGTGATCCTTTGAATAAATCAGCACTGTTTTGAAGTTACTTGGACTGTCTCGTCTCTCAGAGTTAGCAATGATAATAAGAACCATATCCTACAGTCTGTAGTTGCAGTTCCAAACATGCTCCAGTCTGTACAATCGAAGCAGGCCTGTAGCTTTGACTTAGCTTCCTTGGTCCATCTCTTCACTGTTTTGGCCATAGGTTTGCAGGTTTAGGTTTCTGCCTAATAACCTCAAAGATACAGTATTCAGCATTTTCCTTCATATTGATGCTTCATAATCTCATGGTTATGTTCTTCTTCTCTGCAGACCTGTCAAACTGCAAGCTCATTTCTTTCCCAGATGGTGTGTTCAAGGTCCTTAGGAGTGTATCAGGAAATATCCATGTAATCACGCTGGCTGACAATGAGATGAAGGCCATTTCCAGCAAGTTCTTTTCAACCTTCACTCAGCTGAGAGGTAGTGGATAATGCACCATTTGATTCATGGACTCATTCATGTTGACAATATCTTCATGCTGTGACAGATGAACAGACACACGACCCCTCAATTTACTTGTGTCTTGAAATACCTTGTAGAACTGGACCTGCAAGGCAATGTTCTCACCAAACTGCCTGACACCGTGGGAGAAATGAAGCATTTGACCAGCATCAATCTGGCTAATAATAGCTTCTCCATCTTCCCTGAGAAGCTTATTGAAATAGCCACACTGGAGAGGATTAACCTGGAAGGAAATAAAATTACTGGTAATAATACTATATTAATTTAATGCATTCTGCCTGTTTGACAGAGGGGGTTGTGTTGTATGGTTTGAGCTCAAGTTTATTTTGTTCTTTTATCCCACAGAAATTCCAGTGCAGAAGTTGTCTGCCATGCCGGCACTGAAGTGGCTCAATGTGAAGTCAAACCCTCTGGACTCAAACACTCAATCTGCTCTGCAATCACCCCACAAATTTGACATTCTAACTACAACAGAGTCCTAAAAGAGGTTATAAACAATAATATATCACCTATAAACGGCATGCTGTGTGCCTTTATCTAGTACTGCTGAATACTTTCATATGCCTGAATGCTGAAACATGAGAAAATGTAGTACTTGAAAATATTTAAAAAAAACTACCACAGGAAACAAAAAAACAGAGGTGTGTAAAGATGGCATCGTTGAGTGTATCAGTCTTACTGGAAACCAAACACTGAGGAAACTATAGAACTACAAAGATCAGTCTTTATACACCATTTGCCTGTTTTTGTCTCAATTCAGATATTAGCAATGATTTATTTTGAAAATGTTGTGCTTTTTTTCTCAAATGAAGATCATATACTGTAAACTGCTGTCTTATTTCATATCTGACTGGGTATCAAATTAATTTCTGGGACAGTCTTAAGATTTTATACTGTTCTTTTTAATTAATGTAATTTTTATCTAATTTCCCTTTGGGATTATTAATTATTCAGATCATTATTTTCTAAATTAACCAATTATTTTTTAATTAATAAACTGTCAAGAAAGTATACAGTAACAGTTCTTCAGGGCCCAATGTTCTGAATGTTTTGTAAGACCAACAGTCCAAAACCTCGAAAAATTCTATTTACAGTGATAAAACAAAAGCTTCAGAATAAAGAACCTGGAACAGGGGAATTTCTGGCAATTTGGCAGATGATTAATTAGTTGTTATACAATTCCTGATTAATATATGGCCAGTCCACTAATCACTTAATTGGTTCAGCTCTAGTTTGATCGGTATGTTCTTAGGGTTCACACCAATAAAAGATGGTTACACAAAGATAGAGGTTAACAGGGTGGGCTGGGACACAGGCTGCAGCACTGTCTTGGCAAATGAACAGGAGGAGATTAACCTTGAAAGAGCAGCTCTGTAGATACAATATAATGTACATGTACTCCAAATACAGCAGCCTATCTGTGGAGCAGTTCGACACCATGAGGGATTATCGCTCACTGGCTGTTAGCCGTCAAGAGGTGGCGCGAATTTAAAAAACTGGATAGAATGCGGGGAATGCTAAAGCACGAAGAAGAGACCCTCTGATTGACTGTTTCCTAGGAGACCACCGATACTACCAAGCGCTGGGCTGCTCGTCAGTGTGGGGTGGGGTGGGGTAGGTTAGTGGAAGAGGCATTTGCATGTATTGTAACAACACGATTATCCTGCTATTGTCATCTTCTGACAATAAGTTAAGCCGGTTGCTTGTTAAACGTTATCTTGAGCCACATGAGGTTATACTCTAGAAAGTGCCAGAGGTTTAACGTTAGCTAACATGCAAGTGCTAACTAGCAAACAAACGTCATGTAACTACTGTCATGTCGGTTTAATAAACCCACAAAGCACAATGAAACTAACTAAATGGTAACTGTAGCAAGGCTACAAATGCAATATTTGTGGAATCAGAAACATCACTATTGGTGATTGTAATGTCATTTTACAGTATAAGATAGCAAATAACGTTGGCGTTTAACAAACAACGAAAAGAAGTGCTTTCCTTCAGCGGAGGTGTTGAGTGCTTTCAGTCGTAACAATGCCTTTGCAGTGTTTCTATGCAATGCATTAAGTGCAAGAGTAGAGCTTTTCATAAAGTGCACAATAGGTCCTTGCAGTGTTTAAAAAGGTTTGGGATTTCAAATCATTTACATGTTCATCCCATGCTAATATAAAGGGGGCAATACAAACATGACTGCTACTGCTGACGGTTAAAAGTAAAATTGAGTATGCCTAAATAGTCCTCAACACATTTACTCTTTGGCTGTGTGCTCTGCACTATCCCCGTTAACTTGCTTTTATGCCACCAATGTTCCTGAACACACCTATATAACTTAGTTTTGCTTACTGCGTTTAATATTATGCTTGGTCACGTGTGTCATGTTTACATGGACGTAACAGAAATGCTAATGCATTTAGCACCCGTTAGCAGCCTACACAACCTACCATTTTGATCCTGAATATGTAACTTAATTAAATTTATCAACGTAACCACATCAGGTACCTCATACTTTCAGTTCCATAACTTACATTCTTTCCCAATATGTAAAGTTAACGACTTACTTAGCTCCAGACTCCCCTTCTTCTGTAACTCCAGTCTTAGGTGCTAACGTTAATGTGTTAGCATCATGCTCTTATGCCACATACGTTTTGCATATGTGGCACTGAACCGTCTTCTCTTTGACTGTCAAATAAAGTCCTCCCAACTTTAACCAGGTCTTCTGCTTTTCTCTGTTGTAACCATGCTCACTACTATCCACTTCTTCCGCCACATTTTGATAACGTTTCACTGACATAGGAGCCCGGTATCTCACACAGCTACGTGACTACACCCAACGAATCGACAATTAAATTCGTTGTCAACTATTGTCGATTTTTATCACTTTTATGGATTGGTTGTTGCAGCCCTAATTAATAGACCCTTTTTACAACAGGCATGTTGAGTTGTCACATTATAAAGCACAGTTTTAGCTAACAACTGTGGTGGTTAGCAATAAACCAGATTCCAGAGGTAATATGTAATGGTACAGTATGTAGTTCATATAGATATTATTTGTAATAGTTATGTAAGGGTGAGCTAAGTGTGTACGGAAGCCTGATCTGTTCCTGGCGCAGGCAAGAATATCTTGGGCTGTGTCCCCCTTGATTAACTCATGGGTCAACATCCTGAGTGACTTCCTCCTCTGATAGGGAATGGATATACTGTAGCTGCAGCTGATGTGAACTGTTCGTGTGCTCTGTTCAGGTTTAGAAAAAGGGAAATGTGTGCTAGGTCAATGTGACCTAGAAGGTCATGTACTGGACAGTTTAGACAGTGTTAGGAAGAAGGTGTGTGAGGGTAGTTGGCATGGGACCGCGTCTTCATGGCTCCGGCCGTGCAGAGCTGTGTGAGTATGAGCAGATAAAAAGCTGGGTTGGAGCAGCAGAAGAGAGAGAGAGAGGATGACCATGCTACCGTGAACAGTAAACCACGTACTTTTGGGGACCCAGCCGGCTGGGGGGGGAGACGCTGACTGACTCGGGACGGACAACGAATGACCTGACTGACTGGTGCTCTGACAATCTTCTTATGCTTTATCTATCACATTGCAGGAGGAGTGAATCTGTTCTTTGATCTATGTTCTCTGTTCCCTAACTACAAGATTATGTGTTTAAATACTACTTTATTCCGAATAATTGTAATATTAAATGATCTGTTAAATTGGGATGGTTTGTCTGAATTAATTTAGTCGGTATCACCACTCCAGCCACGACACAACATTAAGGATGGCTGAGTTTAATTAAGTGTCCCACTAAACTGTCAAATTACACCTCTCCTAACAGTAAACTGTAGAAGTATTCTGACTTGGTTCTTCAAGCAGACAGTCAAGATGTCATTTTTTATTCGACTGGATCTACAGGGGCTTTAGTAGTATTTTACAGTTCTTAGGTAAGTACTGTTGACATTTCCTTAATGATTTAAAATTGGTGGAAAGGTATTCAAATTTTCTATGTAAATGTAAACTCACTTTGACGAATGGTTCCTATTAGTGTTGAATTCTTTGTGTACAGGTTTGGTTGTGTCTGGTTATACCCCACTTCAGGGATGAAGTAAGTAAGTCACCCATAAAATGTGCAGGTCATTATAAAAGTCACCCATAAAATGTGCAGGTCATTTGTGAATCATTTCTTCCAGGTTTGTACAAAAAGACGGGTAAGCTGGTTTTCCTCGGCCTGGACAATGCTGGTAAAACAGCACTACTGCACATGTGGAAAGATGAGCGACTTGGTCAACATGTACCCACAATGCAGCCAAGTAAGGAGAGACATACAGTAGAGAGTACTGTGCCATCCAAAGGTGGTATGCTTGTAGAGGTTTTATTGTGTTGGTTTCAATATATCATACCACAGCATATCATAGCACAGTATCACCTTTTCTGAAAATATGCACATGTATAACACCACCCTAAATAAAGGATTCAGCTGTATTATTACTAATTCCTAGTTAAAACTACTGCTATCATACTGAATTCCTGCAAGAACAGCTGGTTAACAAACCATAAAGATCCTGAGGAACAGGTGATACTCTCCTTACTGTACAGATTAAACAGTCACAAGCATAAAAGCCTTTATTTTCTTTCTCACAAACCTTCTGAGGAGCTGACAATCGATGGCATGACCTTTACTGCACTTGATCTGGGAGGACATAGTCAAGGTGAGAGCTTTCTCCATTTTTTTTTCAGTTGTTACACAATATAGAAATACAGTAGGCAGCTGTTACTGCTGCCAGAACAGATTTTGGTGAAATATTGCATTGCAAATCTGAATTACTTTTTATGTCACAGGCAAAGTTTCCTGAAGGCAATTCATAAGTCAGCGCATGATTTAAACTGTAGATGGCTGTAGTGCTACCTCAACATCATGTAGATGTGTTGAACATTATCAAACCACTTCATTCATTCACAGTAACTGAGTAAAAATGGTGGAGGAGAAGGAAACTGGTTTGCTACTAATCAAAATATAATAGTAGTCATTTGGAAAGAAGAACTTTATTAAGCCTTCATCAGCTTGCTCCTTATTGTTTTCACTGTCACTAATCTCTGATGTTTTTAGAAACATACGAGAAAACAGTCAAGTTGAGCAGTCACAGTTCTCATGAATAAAGAATATAGTAACCCACTAGAGCGTGACATGTACAGATTGTGAAATTTGTATTGTAAATCTTGTATTAATGTAAATCTTGTGGTATAACAGTGAACTCAGGTTTGTCATGTAGAGGCAAATTCAAAGTCCCATTGTCCACACACGGTGGTGTTTTCACTTATGTTGCCTGATTAGAACTGTTCTCAACACTAATTGAATATATATGTGTTGCTGTGCATTTAGTTATTAGTCAATTTTAACACTTTATGACTGTACACAAAGAAAATAGAGGATACAATTGAATCATTACTATCCTAGTTAAAGCTGTTGCATTACAAGCTGAAAAGGACATTTTCTCTCCTCTACTGAATTACTGCAAGAACAGCTAATTAATAAACTGTCTTCCCATTGATGACAGCTCGAAGAGATTGGAAGAACCACCTGCCGGCTGTGAATGGAATCGTCTTTCTTGTAGACTGTGCAGATCAGTTCAGAATCACAGAGTGCAAGACAGAACTTGATGTAAGATTAACCATGAGTGTTGCAAGCTACAGTATTACCACTGTGCAGTATTTACTGTTAACCATGGACTGATGATGACTGAACTGCTCTGGAATTTCCAGGCTCTCCTAGCAGATGAGACCATAGTCAATGTACCAGTGTTGGTGCTGGGTAATAAAATTGACCGCCCTGAGGCCATCAGTGAAGGAGTACTGAGAGACGCTTTAGCTCTTTATGGTCGTGTTACTGGAAAGGTAGACCTTGTCTTTTAATTCACAGAAATAATATAATGTCTCTCTGTGTGTATAGGCACATGTTCCTGTGTCAGCTAACTGTTGTCTTCATTTATCTGTATTATTGACAGGTAAATGTCTCTTTAAAGGAACCGAAAGTCCGACCGCTGGAGATATTCATGTGCAGCATGTTGATGAAACAAGGATATAGGGAAGGTTTCAGGTGGTTATCACAGTACATCAACTGACATATGGGCCTGAAGCTTAACCAGAAGGGATTTTATTGACATGTTTTCATGAGGCATGACAAAGTGTCAGTCAGCCCAAATTTAAAATCTTATGATTCACAACACATGAAGAGCAAATTCTTTTTAACTATTAAAGCATTTATTCAGGATATAAAAGTTTCTATGCAATCTCTTAAAAGTGGTTCATGGTGAACTGTCTTCTCACATTAATGTTATTAATGTGAGAATTAACTCAGGTGATTGTAGTGAGCGGATTAACTCATTTGACATTTTAAAGTTTAAACTGAAAACAGACAACAGGCAAATAACTGAGTACAGAAGATTAATTTTAGTTCATTTAATCTGATGAGATGCAGTCACTGACTTGAAAGTATATAGCCAAAGATTGTATGCTAATGACTTAGGGATTAGCAAAGAGATAGACTGGATGTCAACAGAAGAAACTGAGTTGAATTGAAGTAATTGAAGCTGTAAATGTGCCGCTCATATTCATTGTCTCGATGGAATTGACTTGTTTACAGCTACACCAACCTTTATGTGTTGATCAAAGTGATGTTACATGTTGAGTTGAAGGCAGCAAATTCAAAGTTTGTTACTTAGCCTAAAAGAAGTTTTCATTATCACTGACTTAGTCATACATAACTCAAAGATGATGTCCATACACAACTGAATTTCAGTGGCTGCTCATGCTTTGTAATATGATGAAGGCAGTAATAATGCATTGCCCTTAAAATGTCAGGATGCAGTAAAGTAGAATGACCAACTGTACTGCAGCAGAGACTATTTTAGTACACTCTGAAAGTTGTACTGTAGGTCTGTTTGTTTAAACCTGATCATCTTTTCAACAATGTTAAGTATTAATTAGCACTGCATAAAATACAATGTAGTTTTATCTCTGCTTGTGAGTTGTTGCAGTCTTACTTGAATCAAGGAGAGATAGTCGCTGAGCTTCTGTAAATTACAGTATGTATAATATAGATGTAAATGTTTGTAGGGTAAAGGCCCTGACACCATATAGTCGACATACTGGAATTATTTATAAATGACAGTTTATTGAGTTTATATTTTCAGCAATTACAGTATCTGTGCTGCTATGATTTCATGCTGTAAAAACAATTTGAGCCTCTGATGGTGAATATTGACTGCAGGTGCTCTATATTATGTGTATTCTTTGTCACCTATCTATCAGCCAGGAGGTTGTAATCTTTGAACGCTTCTTATACCAGATCTATCATTAGAAGTTCAAGTAACCTAAATGATGAAATCAAGGCACATCACTGAGCTTTTCTTTTTATTCTCTGACATACAGAAAGGCTTTGATGCTTATCTCATAACTTAATTATTGTGAACTGCCTTAATGTGATATCGATTGAGCGCAGTCATTTGAGAAGATGCTGCCTGGTTACTAACATAACACACTCCAAGAGAAGTGACACCACATTACATTAATTTCTGCTGCCCGTCATCAGCTACCTGTCTCTTTTACTAATTAGTTGTAATATTTTACCTGTGGTTTTTAAAAATTTGCATGGTCAGCCCTCTCCTTATATCTGTGGTTTGTTAACTCTCTGAGACATAACCAGATCCAGATACGCTTGTTGAGCCTTTGTGACACTTGTAAAAACACTGTATCAATAAACTATATTATTACTTTCAGTACTGATACATTTAATCAGCTGCTGTATTTTAATTAAATTTTCAGGTCAACCTTTCCCTGTATCTCCAGATTTGGGGATATTGCAGCTACATGGTAAAGCATTAGTAATTTAACACTGTACTTGCGTCAGTTTTGTTGACTTTTATTTTAATGCTGCAGTATATAACTGAAGGTAGTGTAGCACTAGCATAAAAGTCCAAATTAATCCACTCTGCTCCGCCCAGCGCTCCCTCTCCCTGCTACGTTCCACCATGCTCTGACCACCTCTTCAGATATTTGTTGCTATGAAATTACAATAAATGAGAGTGCAACAAAATTTACTGAAGAGGCAGAAATAATTGAAAATCTCTGACTGGTTAGAGAGGTCAATCCTACTCGAAACCTTTTAGATGCTAATATATCTGCACTGCTGCCAGTGCTGGTCAATGACTCTGGGTCACAGGAGGCTTCGACAGCACCTCTCCACATTAAGGCAAGTTTTGGTGCATATTTCATTGCAGGATTTACCACCCACATGCCCTTAAACAGTGTTGTCTGTCACATTATGGTCATTTAGTGGTATACGCCACAAGGCAGCCAACCTGCTGTAATTTGTTCTTCTAGCATGAGGTGGCAGCTGAGGACCAAAATATCTCAGCAAATATTCCATCTGCTTTTCACAGACTCAGCTGAGGGAAGACTCTGCTTTCAGCCTCCTCTTGTTTTTATTTCACTGGTTCATGATTGTAGATGATGATGAAATTGTTTTTAGTTAATGCCTTGTTAAACACATTCAGCTGTGTAATCAGCTGTAACAGGCCTTGGCTGTAATAAGCTTCAGTAATCAGCATTTCACGCACCAGGTGGGGGTTTCAACGGTCACGAGAAAGTTCCATGTGCCAAAATGTTCATATTGAGGCATCCAGCTTATATTTTATAAACAAATTACTCTGGGTAAGGTAGGCTCTGGTGTTCATTTATGAGCCCACAAGCTAAATTAGAAAGTACGGATCTGCTGAGTTTTAAAAAATCTGAGTATTGATGATTCGTTTCTGACCACAGTGTGGACAACCCACCTGCCTTTATCTCAAAAATGAGTTACATTTCCCAACAGGCACCTATGCACAGTGTCCCTTTCTTTATCTGGCAGGATCCCTGTGAAAATCCTCATTAAATACAGAGGGAGATGGTGTGTGACTTGGTGGCACGTAGCCACAAACCCAAGTTAACTTCTCCCTGGATGATAATTTTCATCCCTGAAATATACTGAAAAGATTAAAATCAACATATATTTTGGCTCCAGTCCCTTTATTAGTAGTAAAGTGCCTAGAAGTACATTCTTATTTACTAACATGCAATACTAAAAACAACTGTCTGGCCTGTCAATAACATGAATAAAGACATGGCAACAATGTCTCATAGAAAAGAAATTACAATGTGAATTCAAGTATACACACAGAACTTCAAGTAATGCACACATTTTTTTTATAAACACAAAATACAGATTTTCAAATTGCAAACAAAATAAGACATATTTGTGGCACATTCTTTGACATGATTTTAGAGTTAATAGTGGAGAGCGACCAGTGATATCTACTGTAGGTGCAGTTGGGCCACTGAAGTACATTCTACAAGTTTTCAGTAAAAGTAATCCAATTATAAAACCATGTCCTGTATAGTTATATGTATCCACTTAATATAAAAACGGCTATGAGCTGTGGTACACGTTTCTCATAAAGGCAGTCTGATAACATAGTAACCTGAAATACTTGCATCACAGATCATTTACACTGGATTTATATATACAGAATCAGTCTGGAAATACATAACCACATTGTACTGAACTGCTTCAAAAGAATAGTTTAACATTTTGCTTTCTTGCTGAGAGACAGATGAGAAACAAGTTGTGAACACAAGTGTCAAATCAACTGTAACGTTTAAATGGCAAACAGTTGCTTATTTACACATTCATTTTGAGTCAGATTTGTGTCCACCTAACAAATTTAAGTCCAATATTTACTCTCTTTTAGCTCTGTTTCGGTCTCTACAGTTTCCTGAGGCAAATATCTGTCTCTTTAACTGTTAAATGTGCCACAATGTTCACCAGCTGGTCTCTAACTTTTCACTGAAAACAGCTGCTTGTTGTGAATGAAAACAACACTATGAGAGTGGCGAGAGTGAGCCAAAGTTGTCTGCACAGCAAAATCAGCTGAAGCTGAACAGAGATGCAGATTCGGGTGATAATTCTCTATGGGTTAATCACTGCGAACAACAATGTTTACATTCTCACGTGATGCAGTGTTATTGTAAAAATATTGATTACAGCTGCTTTAAACAGTGGCAATGGGAGACAGTTAGCTTGGTTCTGTCCATAGGTAACAAAATCTGCCTCCCAACTCCTGTAAAGCTCACTAATAAAGACAATTTTGTTTATCTTGTTTATTTAATCTTTACAAAAAGTCTAAAAACAGCTGTTTGTATTTTTATGTGCCAGACTTTCTTTTCCTGGTGCAGTGACTTCCTAGACAGTCTGCCACATACCTCTTCATAAACTTTTTGTACTGTGGTTTTTAAAGCTTAAACAAACAAGTTATAAGTGTGATGTTAAAGATTTGTCTGCATACTGTGTTAAGTAGCTGACTCCTGTTGTTTCCTGTCTTTATGCTGAGCTAAGATAACCATCTCCTAGCTCTAGCGCCCTATTTAACATGTCAGGCAATCTTCTCATCTAGCTCTCAAAAACACAAGCAAGTATATTATCCAAAATGTTGAACTACTCCTTTAAATTTCAGTGGGACGGCGGCTCTAATACTCAAGCAATTGTTTACACAGTACAAAATTACAGGTAATTTCTATATGCATAGATGGCAGTCAGACAAGATAGGAGTTCTGATGGACTTAGCTACCTATGACGCAATAGTCAGTGGGTCCTGCTTTTCCGGATGGCAAAACAAAAAAGCTCTGTTGCTCAAAAGACAGAGAAGAGAATGAAGCAATTACACATATCTAAGACGAAAACTAGGCATCGTCTCATGAATGAACCTGCCCACCACAATATATTCCACCAGGATGAAACACAATGCCTCCCCAGTCCGATCTCTGAAACTTTTGCTATAAGGAAAGAGCCATACCTGTAGATTTTCAGGCCAGCAGCTGTGACTCGGCTCTCCACGCAGGGTTAGAACGTTCTACCAGATGTATCCTCCATCATCTGCCTCGCCCTCCTCCTCTTCCTCCTCTTCCGCCTCCTCCCCGTTGTCCTCTGCCTCCTTCTCCTCATCATCCTCCCATCCCACTCCACTCCCAAAATCTCCAGAATATCCTGCCACTTCATCTAGAAAAAAAATATATACATAAGAAATTGTTATGCATCAGTGCCAAAACAATTAGATTGTCAAAAATTTCAAGCACAAATGGCAAATACCCTTTTGTTTTATCTTCTAACATCCACAAAAAAATTTAAAAATATACTTGAACCAAGCTGAATTACATTAGAGACGAGTTGAAACAAATACACTGCACTGGCATATTTTGAGAAAATATATCTTCACAGATTCAATCACAGGCATAAAAATGACTTCATATGAAGGCAATAATCTTGCTGTGTACAGAACAGAAATATCCGTTTGCTGAATGCCCTCCTCTTACCGCAGTCAGGGTTGCCATGGATTCTCGTGCCCATCATCTCTCCACCGTGCTGGTCGACACACCAGCATTCCCCTCGGCTCTGGTCACACTGCGCTTTCCTGTAGTAGCCGTCCTCGTCACAGCTGGGGATGTACATCCCTGCAAGGACATGCACACAAACACACATGCATCTAGTCAGGAATGTTTAATGGACATTTTGGTGCCCTGGGCAAAATGGCCTCTGGTGACTGATCTTTTTGTTAGTATCAGGTGTGTAATGCAGAGTGGGGAGTGTTTTTTCCATTCGTTTTAACGTGTCCACTGGACAACAGAGATGGACTTTTAATGTTAGACCTTTCTCTTCTTTGGTGCCCCTCCAGCTGGTGCCCCCCTAGGCAGCCGTCTAACTTGCCTAGGCCTAAAAACAGTCCTGAATGTAGAGGTTAAATATTAATATCCTCAGCACATAAGCTGCCTCATGGTGAGGTGTGAGATGAGTGTGACATAAAGGAGAATGCCAGCACACCTTAGTTAACCAGTGAGACGACCATCAGTCAGGATAGAGAGGCAGCTTTTTGGCAATGGAGACCAAGCTCACCCATTTTGTTTTACACAGCCGTGTATATGCTGCTGGATGCGATCTTCTACAGTATGCTGGCATAGTGTGTTTCCTTATGCTGTGAGAGTGGCATGTAAAAACGTAGTGACAGCCTAGGTGACAGAACTCCTCTGTTTCAGCCTCCCTCAGGACGCTCTTGTCAAGCCTGAAGCAACATTCTCTAACAAGCACCAACCCCCACCCCACCCCCACCTCCACCTCAACACTGTGTAAATGAGAGAAAAGACAAGTGGGCTTCAGGGATGAAAGAACAGTCAGGGTTTGTAGCTGAACACTGGCGGGGTTTCTCAGGGAGCCAAACAGGCATGTTGGCATTTCTCATTGCTAAAAGCCGCGCTCCCCGGCCCAGATTAGGGCCTAATCATATCTGTGTGATTGTGATCTCTTCAAAAAGCATCTTCCAGCCTGATGTTCCAGGCACCTTGTTACACAGGTACACTCAGACACTTGGAGCAAGGGGCACACGGCAGCTAGGTGTTGCAGTTTATGGGTACCTATATGTGGCTTTGAAAGGATCTGAAGTCAGTCTGGTAATTTCCTGTCCAAAAGGTGCTTCTATGCAAGTGCGGTGTCTACAAATCTTCTATCATATACTTTAACTCCACAGTACTGCGATGAGCAATGTATTTACCAGGCATCTTCTCGGCCGCTGCTTGCACCTGGATCCTATCCAGCTCAGCCAGGCACGGTGGCTCTAAGGGATCCAACAAAGAAAAGTGATGACAGGCAATAGTTAAAACTGCTCTCCCTCAAACTTTATCTCAGTCAATGCTCTTTATAATTACAGTTTTGGCCTGTATTGATTTGTTTAAGAAGTCTTATATTTCATTCCCTCAGAGCCTGATCGATTGTCGAGAACATATGGATAAAGTCTGAGAATGACAAGGAAATGAGCCAAACCTCTCAAACAGAAACAAAGAAGACACTCTGTATTGCCCCCATGGCAATAAATCCTCCCCAATAAACGTAGATTTTCACAGGAATAGTTCTGTTTTCTCAGTTGTAATGACTTTCTGTGAAGATGAATTCACATGGAAAGATCAGTCCTCCAAGGTTTCACTGTCAAGTCACAAACCAAAAGCAATCCCTTTTATACATACATTATAGTATGTTTACAAATTATTATTAGGATACTATTATTACTGAATGGTTTAATGTGAAGGAGTTTATAAATATCACCAGCTAGTAATGAAAAATTGATTTCATTATTTATATAGATTCAGGGTAATCTGTCAGATGCAGGTTGAAAGCTTAATCAATGAGATAATCAGCGTGTAAATGAGGATACTGTCAGGGATATCCTTGCTGATTTGTTTAGTAAAGGTCAAATGGTGCAAATGCTGCCCATGTGCACAACTGGAATAACACTATGAGTACAGGCTAAACCCATAGAGACACATAATTGTGAGGAACATGGCTTCAAAGGTAAGTTTCATGTTTGTATGCATTTTCAAGCACACCAGGTATTTTAAATTAATTTTATGATTATTTTCCCTCCTAACAAAATGAATTATGTCATCATGTATATATATACAATTTATATGCAGCATAAAAAAAGAAGCAAGGTTTTAATTTTGCTCCTCGAAAAAGAGAGCTATAGTCTTATGTTGTTTGTCAAAATAATAACACTGATTGGAGTTGTTTTATGAATTAATAAAACAATACACAGTACTGGAGTATGTATCAGATATAACCATATAACAATACTTAATACTGTGCTTTCATATGTTAAAAAAATCATGAGAACATTGGTAAAAGCTGTTGGTAAATAGACAAGTCAAAGAGGCCTCAAATAAGAGGTCGTGCGCAGACTGTTCTCAACAAAGGAGAATTGCAAATCATACTGGGAATATTGTTGGATCTGGATAAATAGTGGAAATAGATAAATGGATGGAGAATTCAAGCATAAGTTTTTGCAAGCTGCCAAAGTCTTAAACGAAGAGAAGCAAAAGACAGCCAATACATATGTGCTTTGAAGATTTTTGATTAGGCTGCCAAATCCTGCTTTAAAATAGGAGTCTGGGAAAATACCACTTAATACCTTCAATACCTCTATCTGTCTGTTAAATATAGAGAAATTAGCTTAGAATGAAGACAAGAAGCAGGAGAAAACAGCTAGCCTGGCTCTGTCCAGAAAACAGCAGCACCTTCAGACTGTACACAAACAGAATTGTTGAGTTAAGTGCTATTTCTTGCTTTAGAGGTGTTGTTAGCTGTACTTTGGACAGAGCCCCATGTTGTCCCCTGGCCGTAGCTATGCACTCAGCAGACAGATATGAGAGCGATGTCATTTTTCTCACACAACTATTGATGAGAAATTGAACATCCTTAATCCCCAAGATGCTGATTCCTTTAATGGTAATGTTGCTTCCTTGATGTTGAGGTCCACAGACCTAGATGCATATATACTGTACATAATAAATAGCCAGTGGTGGAACAAGTACTCAGATCTTTACTTAAGTAAAAAAAAAACAACAATACAATAAGTAGTAGCATCAAAACATACTTAAAGTACTAAAAGTTACAGTACTCATTATGCAGAATGGCACATTTAACATTAATGTATTTTATATGATTTGATTTCGTTTAATGTTGCAGCTGGTAAAGGGGGTAATTTTAACTAGCATATATTGTCATAATTTGAATTACTGCTGGGTAGTATAGTGTAACTTTTGTATTAATCTGGTTCTGAAAAAAGCTGGTAACTAAAGTTAAAGGTAGTGGAGTAAAAAGTACAATATTTGCCTCTAAAGTGTAGTGGAAGTATTAAGTAGCACAAAATCTAAATACTCAGGTAAAGTGCAGATACCTCAAAAGTATACTTAAGTACAGTACTTGAGTAAATGTACTTAGTTACTTTCTACCACTGCATATTTCAATAACTACATTCCACTGAAAGTTTGTTTTGATACTTAGTGGTGGCAAGGAGGGTGGAATGAAGTGACATCACAGTACCCTGTACACTCTGTACCCTCGGTTTCTTTCTAATGTAACCTTTCCATTATACCCTCTCTTCATTTTATTGTTGTTGTTTATTCTATTAACTTAATGTGAAGCACTTAGGTCAATGCTGGTTGTGTTTAAATGTGCTATATAAATAAATGTTTGACTTTTGATTGATTCTTTTGCCCATTTAGATAATTGCCTCAAAAGAAAATGCTTCAGTGGCGAGCCTTTCACTCACTTTCTCTCCAGAAGCAGAGGCACCATTCTGCTGTAGAGACCTTCCCATCTTTGTAGCTGTCGCAGGAGTTAAAGAAGGGCCGAATGCAGACCTCGTACTTGTCCAGATTAATAGCAGCCAGCTCAGCCTGGTCCAGATATAGGTCACTGTTGGTGTCCAGCTTTGAGAACATCCAGCCGATGGAGTCCTTGCAGCTGGCTACCACGCTCTTCTCCAGTGCTGTTAAATTATTTGCATAGTATCATTTCAGTATCATTCTGTTTACACTACATTTCTTTACATACACAAATGAATTCTGAGTGTGGGGGCAGCAGAAAACAAAGCTCCTTTGTGAGTTTCTAACCTGAAATGGTGCCAGCTCGGAGTTTGCCAGAGTTATTGTGCTTTGCATTTCCATGAAGGAGCTGGAACCAGTCTCTCAGGCGGTCGCCCAGGTCTGCCAGGTCCTGGCCAGTGCAGCTCTCTAGGGGAGCAAAAAAGGGAATCCCAGCATTCAAAACCCTGGCAGACATTTAGCAGCAATCCAAGTCACCTTCCAAAAGATGGGCAGGGAATCAGTACTGCCTCATAGTCCTCTCACTCATGTATACAAACAGACTGAAAGGCATGGGTTTCCCTCATGGTAAAGCTGCTGAGGCACACTGTGGTTTTTCAATCAAAGAAAAACATTATTTTACCATTAACTCTACTGCAGCAAATTGGTGTTATCCAATAAAATCCACTTTAGTCTCAGGCTAGGCATTTATTCCAGGCTACAGAAGAAAACCAAAAGTAACATTTCATCCTTTTGATCAATTGGAAATTTCACATGCCCAAGAGCATGGACAATCAATACGGTTTGGTTGAAATGATAGACAGTGTACACTCTAAATAATTAATTAGCACATGACTGAAAGAGCCGTTTAACCACTTTGGGGATATTTTGGCTAACACTAATCTCTGAAATTGGTGAGCATTGATCCCAAACATCGAACACTGGGTCGATCAGTTGTGTGAGAATACGATCCTGCAGGCACCATATTGTGTGTGACCACCGGTGCATCATAACATTCTTTTTTTGAAACCTTGACTCATGAGAGGAATGATGGCAACGCAGACAGGAGGTGTGAATTCCAAAATTAAGATGGATAAATATAAAAAGGTGAGGAAAAAGGGACTTGCCACGTTTAGTGTCAGTATTTCTGACTGTATCAGGGGTTGTAGCACAGGGGCAAAAGCCGGTGCACATGATGTTCAGGTCTTTGCCTGTGAGGCAGGCCTGCTGCTCCAGCTTACACTGTAAGGAGAAAGAGAGAGAGAGAGAGAGAGACATGGATGCAGTTAAATATTTATGGGGGTGACCGCAGGCAAAAGCGATTGCTCATTCAGATGAGACACTGCAAGAATGAGCTGTCATTTTCCACAGTCTTTTCATGCAAGGTCAAAATTAAAACTATACATAAATCAATAAAGAGTCCTGGCAGCAGCCAACGTACAGTGATGCCACTCAAGATGACGACAGCCATTAATCACATGGCCAGGTAGAGCCAGCACACTTGTCCTTCCGAGAGCAGTGATGAACTGCGCTGCCCTGCTGTGCCCACGTATATGTCAGCACAGCAGGAAACAACGCTTGACTGGATGCCTCTCATTATTTAAAACAATGACATGGCCACTTTCCATCTCTTTTCAGATGTTTTATGGTGGCAGAATCCAACAATAAATTCAAAGAAAAAAAAACTCTTAGTAAAAAGTGAAATGAGTGCTTTCACAGGGAGACCCTGGTACAGAATATCTTCTTTTACCTCAGAGGCATAGTTGTGTCCATCAGAGCCACATACAGGTGAGGAGGCAGCCGCAGAGCACGACTTGCAGCTGCTGTCATGGGCCTCCAGCTGCCCTGACTGTTTGACTCTGGATAGGAGAGGAAAACAAAAAACTGTCCAGCCATTTTCCAGATAAAAACATTTTCTCATTTAACCAAGCAGACCATGTCACCCTAATGCAGTGGAGGTGAAAGATGCTTTGTCAAACATACCTGCTAAACATCAGTAGGTATAATGTTTACCATTTCAACCAGCATAAATTGTTAGCATGCAAACTTTTGCTGCTTAGCACTAAACAGAAAGTGCAGTTCAGGCTGTTTTTGGTTTTGCAGGTCATCAACCAAAATGAATGAAGTTATTGTAATTACGAGACAGATGGGAATGGATTTGATGGCAATCCATCTGACAGTTTTCAAGACATTTCACTAAAAAGCAAAAATGCCAACCTTCTGGTGGCATGAGAAGAAATGTCAGGGGGTCATAAAAAGGTAGAGGAATTCATTCTTCCAACTCAAATGTCTGTACAAAATTTCATGGTAATCTCTTGAGAGATTTCAGTCAAAGTGGTGGATCGGTTGACTGACGTTGCCTTGCGTGACCCTGGTACATGCTCCCAAGAGGGACTTTTTATTTGGCAGAAAGCAAATCCAGTGAAAACAGCTGAGGTCTTTGGATTATCCAGAGTAACAGGTAATGGATGCTTGTCACTAGCCATATTCTGCTGTAGCCTGAAACTCATCTTATCACTTGTACTATGCCAGTAAACAAGCTCTTAGCTGTGGGGATGCATGTCCACTGTTTGATGACATCTAATTTGTTCCTAACTTGCTTTGAACAGTGTCTGGAAAATGAATGTAATGTAATGGGAGCACCATTTAGGAGAATACAGATTGCTGTTTAATTTTTTTTAAGTGTAATTTCTGAATGCTGTAAGTACAAAGGGAAATTCTACTCACTGGGTAGCAGTAGAAATATCAGAGGCCGGTATCTACAAACCTTTATTAATAAAACCCAAACTATCTGCATGGGTACATACCACTAGATACAAGTGAGAAAATATGTTTCATAATTTGGGCAAACTGGCCTTTTAATATCTACCAGCTTGCTGAGGCCAAACACAACATTACAAATCTGATAAACTGTAACATCAGTACAACAAAATAAGATATTTCTTGTCATAATAACCAGAAAATCATAATCTGCCAGTTAATATTTAGATGCAGCACTTCATAAAATTCCCTTTGTTTTCTTTCCTCTCACACACTGATTGACTTCATATTCATTGAGCCCAAGCATTAGGCTCTCTCGACATTATGACTTCTGAGGTTGCTGCTTAATGATGCTAGGGGTGGGTTAGTGTAGCTACACTCGTACTTATTAGCCATTATTCGACACAGTCTCTTTCATCTCTGGACTGCCTCTGAAGCACTTTATTGAAAAAGATAAATACCTGTCACAGCAGATAGACTTTGCAGGGAGTAATAATTCACTCCATTAATTCTTTTTCAGGCAGCAACCCTACTCATTTGTTTTTCAGCCAAAGTGGAATGAATCGGTGAGGGAACAGATAAATGCTTGTTCCTCAAATAACTTCTGTCTTTCTCTTCTATAAATACTGCAAGAAAACAGGACATGATGAACCATCGCTGTATTACCACACTGACATCGACCATCTGGGTGTTTACTCAAGATTTTCAGACAGCTGGCCACACCGCAAGAATCTTCAGCTCAGTAGTTTGACTTGACAGAGATTCTTTAACAAGTCAGTAATTTGATTTCCTTCAACCCTTGTGTGTCCTGGTATCCACAAAAATCTACATGGCATCTCATCTTTTCAACTCTGTGCAAGCAGCACAAAATGCACTGAGGGTTCTGTAAGATCTTTGCTTAAAAAGCGACAGATGTTAGGACAAATGATGTAGTTTGACGGAAAGTGATTATTCTACAACAAACATCCTGAAGTTTGCAGATGACACAACAGTCGTCAGTCTCATCCAAGACAGTGATGGGTTGGCCTACACATGAACAGCTGGTCCTGTGGTGTGGTCACAACAATGCAGAGCCAAATACACTCAAAACAGTGGAAATACAGTGGACATTAGGAGGAGCCCCCTACCCCACCATATTCAGCATCACTGTATCAGCAGTAGAGTCCTTCAAGTTCCTGGTCTACACTATCTCCCAGAACCTGAAGTGGGTATCCAGCATCAGCTTCATCAAAAAGGCACAGCAACGGATGTACTTCCTGTGACAGCTCAGGAAGTTCGACCTGCCCCAGGAGCTGCCGATACAGTTCTACAGAGGAATCATCGAGTCTGTTCTCTGCTCATCCATCACTGTCTGGTTTGGCTCAGCAATGGAACAGGACAGGAACAGACCCCAGTGAACAGTCAGGACTGCAGAAAGAACCATGCCCTCCATGGAGGACCTGTACACCTCATGGGTCACAAGGTGGGTGGAGAGGATCACTGCAGACCCCTCACACCCTGGACACAAACAGTTTGAACTCCTCCCCTCTGGACGGTGTTACAGGTCACTGTGCACCAAGACAACCAGCACAAGAAGAGTTTCCTCCCCCAGGCCGTCATTTTAATGAACAGTTAATCCATGTTTAATATGTAAAACAAGAAACAGCAAACACCACAGAGCAATAACTTTTATTTTTAACCACTGTACATAAAGTAGCTAATTTTTAACTTTTATAAATGTACATATTTATAAATAGATGAATGTTTGTTTTCTTATTATTCTACTTATTTGTTTATTTTTTTTATTATTTAGTGCATGTCAGAGACTATTTAGCTTGAGTCAAATTCCTTGTATTTTAACCTATTTGGCAATAAAGTTTATGCTACACCTTTGACAATGTGTAATACTGTCAGGAGTTATGCAAGAGGCTTTTTTGTTAGTGCATTAAAATGTATGTTTATTGAAAGGGTTTGTTACAATCATATGTATATTCAAATTCACTCCTAGGGGCAATTTAGAGTCACCAATCAATCTAAGCTGCGTGTCTTTGGACTGTGGGAGGAAGCCGGAGCGCCAGGAGAGAACCCACGCAGGCACAGGGAGAACATGCAAACTCCACACAAGGTTGCTGTGAGGCAATGTATATTTTACAGGTCTGCTACATAAAAGAAAGTGTAAGAAATTATTACCATATATATCCATCCATCCGTTTTCTAAACCGCTTAGTCCCATACAGGGTCACGGGGGGCTGGAGCCTATCCCAGCTAGCTGCGGGCGAAATACCATATATAGATATATATATAGATAGATAGATAGAGAGTAACACTTTCTTTTACAGCCAGATGAGGTAGCAAACCTGTAAAGTAAAACATTTCTACTTTTTTATCTTTCATTCATCATTATTTTCTTGATGGATTGGATGGTGTTGTGGGTGCAGGTTGAGTGAGGTTCGCAGATCAGCCTCTCTTAAAGAACTTGAGGAATCTTTTCTTCATGCTTGTTTTCTTTGTTTTTTTCTGAACCTCCTCAAACTGATTTTCCAGATTATTTAGTTTTTCTATAAGTCCATCCGTAAACTGCCTTTCCAGTTCTGCCTTCTCTGTCACAGCCTGGGTCATGGTCCTGATAAACTCCAGGAGGCCACACCTTTCTTGAATCCATTGCAGCCGTTCATTGTCCATGTTTTCCTTTAGTTGGGTAAATGCAGCCTTAAAGCTGGACATTGCCTCTAGGTGCTCAGTGAGGAGGCAGAACTTCCTCATCCCACTGGCATCTTTTGCTTTCCAGCTCCTGAGTCAATGTTGACTTCAGAGTGGAGGCTGCCTCAATGTGCTGAGCCAGAAGATGGGACTTCTCAGCCTCCCATTGGATTCTTTGATTTTCCAGATCTGCTTTCGCCTGGATCAAATCTGCCTTCAGGTTGGAGATTGCCTCAGTGTGCTGGGCGTTGAGGCTTTTTAGATCCGGTGTCTGTTCCCTGTCAGATTTTTGATTTTTGAGCTGATCTTTCAACTGCTCAACTTCCCTGAGCAAGGCAACCTTTTCTTTACTCAGCTTGGATATTTTGTCATCCTTTGTGTCCAGATGTAGGTCAATCTGAGATCCAGTGCTGGTCTTATCAGCAGTTTGCTGTGGTTCCCCTTCAGGAATGGTTGGCAGTTGTTTTGGAGCTACTGCAGACTGTCCTTTGGTTTCCACTGCCATGTCAGGTATCGTTTGCTCAGCAGACTGGCTTTGGTTAGTCACAGCTGGCTGTCCTTCTTACAGGTATAACAGTCAATCCAAAGGCACCAAGTTTTTTGATCGACTTCTTATGAGGCCGAGTCCGCTGATTCTTGTCCTGTTCCTGCTGTTTAACTGGCCCTCTCTGGAGCTCAGGAGAGTCTGTGTTTTTCAACTGCAGGCTGGCGTTTAGGTCAGCCACCCCTTGACAATTATTCTTTTGCCAGGGGTTGACAGGCTGTGGCTCTTGGCCTGCATTGCAGGTTTCCTCTTCAGTAGCTGTTGTCTGACAGTCTGTTCTCCATCACCGACAGGCTCTGCAGACTTGTCCTCTGAATGGAGGTCTTCACGTCTCTGATTCTCAACATGCAAGTTGACTTTTCTCTCTTCCTCCTTCAGCCGTTCATTTTCCAGAATTTTCTGAGTGTGGCTCAGAGCTGCCTGCAGCCAAGCGTTAGCATGCATGTACTTAGGGACCTCTGTGTTGATCCAATTAAGGAGGTCGCATTTCTCCTGCTCCCACTGGGATCTGTGGTTTATCAGATTTTTGAGCTTGTCCTTCAACTGCTACACCTCACTTAGCAAGTCAGCCTTTTCTTTAACCAGCTCGGATATCTGGTCATCCTTCTTGCCCAGAAGCAGATGTAGCTTGTTCTCGGGCATTTGAAGAAGGACCTGTTTGGGTTGTTCCAAGCTGACCTCAGATCTGATGCTGGTCTTATCAGCAGCCTGCTCTGGTTCCTTTTCGGGAATGGTCAGCAGTCGTTTTAGAGTCACATACAGTATTTTATTGTTAACAGCAGACTGTGCCTTCATTTTTGCAGCAGACTGTGATTTTGTTGCCACAGCCAGCTGTTGTGCAGGTGTAACAGTCTCTCCAGAGACACAGAGGTTTCTGAAAGAGGAAGACAACTTCAGAGGCCAATTTTTGTCCTGTGCCTGTTCTTTAACTGGCCCAGTCTGGGGCTCAGGAATGGCTGTGTTACTGGGCTGCAGTCAGGAGTTTAGCTCAGCCACTCCTTGAAGATTATTATTTTCACAAGGGTTGACAGGCTGTGGCTGCTGGTCTACGTGGCAGGCTGCTTCCACAGTAGGTGCTGTCAAACAAGATGGCTCTTCTCTGACAGTCTTGTTGATGTCATCAAATCTGTGGTTTGTAACATCCTCAGATTTTTTACTTTTGAGCCCTTTTTTCAACAGCTCAATCTCACTGAACAAGTCAGCCTTGTCTTTAATCAGCTGGCATATCTTGCTATCTTTCTTTTTCAGAAGCCATTGTAGCTCAAGCTCAGCCTCTGCAGCTCTGGCCTGTTTCCTGGTAACACCAAATCCTGTGCTGGTCTTCTTACCAGCAGCCTTCAGTGGTTCCTCTTTGGCGATGGTTGGCAGTGGTTTTGGAGTCACTGCAGGCTCTTCTTTGGTTTCCACTGACTGCGCATCAACTGGCACTTTAGATTGTGCCTTCATTTTTGAGGCAGACCGTTTTTTGTTTGTCGCAGCCAGCTGTTGTTCAGGGGTGACAGTCAATCCAAAGGCACCAAGTTTTCTGAACTTCTTATTAGGCCGAGCACACTGAATTTTGTCCTGTTCCTGCTGTTTAACTGGCCCTCTCTGGAGCTCAGGAAAGTCTGTGTTATTCAACGGCAGGCTGGATTTTATGGCAGCTGCCCTTTGAAATTTTTTCTTTGCCTGTTCAAAAGGTGTTGTCTGACAAGATGGCTCTTGTAAGACAGTCTGGTCCTTGTAGTCAGATCTGTGGTTTTTCAGATCCTCACATTCTTCATTTTTGAACTGTTCTTTCAGCAGTTCAGCCTCACGAAGCAAGGCCGCCTTTTCTTCAGCCAGCTGGCTTATCTTATTATCCTTCTTGCTAATGAGCAGGTCTAGTTCCCAGTCAGAATTTGGAAGATAGTCTTCTTCTAAGTAGATCTCAAATCCGATGCTGTCCATCTTCTCAATATTCTGACTATGTCGTTCTGGTATTTTGCAAGCACTGTAGCCTTGTATTCGAATAGAGGATTTCAATGTTGTGATTCGCAGCATGCAAAATTACTTTGCTTATAAAGCTAGTTTTGCTTTAACTGACTTTTTTGTAAAAATTCTGTGTACACTGATGAAACGTGTTATCTGGTTCACTGTGTGAGTTGGTCTGGTGACTGTTGTGTTCTGAAGTGTACTGTAAGCTGTACAGCAAAGGCACATTCTAGAATAACATCATGGGCAAAGGTCAAATGAACAGTCTGAATGATGCAGTGAACCCACTGTAAACCAAGAAGAATTGCTTAGTCTCAAAATATTGCCTTATATGGTCATTTTTAAACATTTCTTTTTATTTACTTTTTTTTTTCTGGCCACAACATTTGTTGCAGTACCATACAGGCGCTGGTGACCCAGACACACAGAGTGACACACAAACAAATAAACATTAAATAGTATTTAAACCTATAGTCCTATATTGTACATATTTTCCATGAATTTAAAATCAAAGTGAGGGTGTGGGACTACACTTCTCAACCAGCGTGGGTGACAAAACTCTCATTCCCCACACCGTTCAAGCTGTATTAATTAATAGGCTGCAGTATTTGGCACTCCTTTCCCAGTCTATTTGTACACAGTAATATATAGTTGTGTAATCAAGGTTACGATGCTCAGTTTTGCTTTGAGGTGTAACTGAAAGGTTTTTGTGAAGGGAGGAGCATTTGAAATACTAACTGTGATGTTGTCATGTGTGAGGAAATATGCCGATAAGTTGCATATAAGATCAAAATCTTTATGGCCCTGATTGCCTCCATAATTGTCTGTACTCACAGTTACATCCACACAGTCAGTCAGTCACTGCTCAGCATGAATGTCTCAGCTAAAGTGACTTCACTCCTGACTCATGACACTGTTTGGCCCTGTTACTGAGTTTAATCAATAGCTCTCCAACCAGACACTGAAAAGCTTTTAACTGACACACAGCTAACAGCTGTTGACACCAACTCCACAGAAATGTCTGTCCCATCCACACAGAGGCCTTCTAATCTGATTTATTTATTCTTTAAAGCATATAAAGACAGTTGATATATCAACACACATAATTTTACACATATCCAACAAATGCTAATCCAATATCAATTTGCTTATACCTAATACATGCTTGAATGGAGTAGGAAGAAGTCAGACTTATCCAGTCCTACCCCATGACATCATCTTACATCATTGGTTTGCAAGCAGTATCTCTACTTAGATAATTCTCTTCTACACCACACAAGTAATATTCCACCAGGTGGTATCTTGCAGTATGTAACACAAAACAATTCTCCACCAACCTGTGCTCCAGTTTCTTGCGATTGACACACATGGCCCTCTGGTAGCCCTGAGCGACACAGACCTTATGGCGGCTGCACTTCACATTCTGGCACGGGTCCTTGGTGGTGTCCACAGCTGCAAACACAAAACAACAATACTGGAAATGCAGAAGTGTCAATCACAGCTGAGTTTTTTCTTTTAATTCTTAATTTCTCTCACCTCCAGGAGAAAAATACTGAGCTCCCAGCTGTTTTTATTCATTGTTTGACAAGGACCATATGTTTAACAGATTGTTAGCAAGAAGCAGGAAAGCAGCTTTTTTGTCTTGTATACACAAGTTCTTTATAATTACACTATTTCAAGTTATCTTCTATCTTTTTCACAGGCATATGCAATAAACGTTATGAAATGTTTAATGAAAAATATTCTAGCTATATGCACAAATGAGTCTATTGATTTTATAGTCAGAAGTGAAAACATGGATGGCCTGGCTGTCATTAGCGAGGCTGTCCCTCAGCTGCCTGCAATCTCCAATGGCTGTCTCTGATTGCAGGAAAACCTGACAGCACTGATTGAGCATCTCTTTCTTTTGGCTTGTCACATCTCACTTCCCTCATGACAACTTATCACCATCTCTCCCTGGCTTGCTTTTTCTCTCTCTTCCACAAACACACACGCACTCAATCTTCATCTCCCACATTCTCTTTCTGGCTTCTTCCCTCCCCACTTCCTCTCCCCTGCATCTCTGGCTCTATATCTTCAGAGAAATGAATGGTTCAATGCCAGCCTCTTTTCCACTGATAAACTTGAGATGAAAATAGCACTGTGTCCTCCATCTTTCTCGATCTGTGGTCAATGGTATTCAAAACTGGATGTCACACTGTCCCAGTTCACTTTCTGCCTTGCTGGTGAGGCCTCGGAAAACTCACAGGCTCAGATAAAGTTGAGATTGAGTGGCAAGTAAGTGGCAGTTGGCAAAAGAAATTTAAGCTGTGAAATCTTGAGTCAGCTTTCAGCAGCTGCTTTGTAGTCAACACGGTCAACAGGCGAGGTGGCTGCCAGCCAGATCCCTGCAAATCCAGTGACTAGGTGATACTTTCATGCTACAAGAGGGAGTTATTGTATGAGAGACAGGTACAAGACTAAACTGACTCGAGTTCATAAAGAGCTCTTCCAAGGTAGGTCCAAAAGCCCTTCTTTGGCACTGTACCATTTATTATGGGGTCCTGATGGTTTGTGTGTTTGTTCAGGATAGCAGGTTATCTTTTAACCCCATTTAAACAAGGTTTTGAGAATGAAATCTCAGCATACACTGATCAGCCATAGCATTATGACCACTGACAGGTGAGAAAATGAGAAATACTATACATTACATTGCTCTATATGAAGTGAAACAATCAGCAGCTATTGTAACATTGTCACACCTAGAGTGGGGAGGCTATTGCATGTGTTTAAAAAATGATCTCTAACTTGTCCTCATGACTACAGGTTGCACTCCCTTTACATACATTTTTCACTGAATGGTCTACACATTCGTGCTCTTTCAGACAGTAGAAGTATGGTAGCAACCAGATTCACACAGCATGTGGTGTGAGGCTCAGAGTGACATACTGAAATACCTCCAGCAACAGAGGTAGGTGAAACAGAAGGAAACTCTGCAGTGCAGAATTGTATTAGCATAATAGGTTATAGCTACCTGAGCCTGAGACGTATCAAAGGTACCAACTAGTAAATAGTAAAAAAAAGAGAAGAAAGTAGTATCAGTAAGATAGGACAGGCATCAATATCACAATTGAATTACAAACCTCTTTATCTAAATTCCACCTCTCAATGGGGAAGGATCTCATAAGAATACTAGATGTAGCATTTAGGCTCAGCAGAGAAGTTCAATGACAGCTGATTCTGCTATTGCTGATAGCTTATAAACTTGAAACAGCTGTTCCATATAAATGATTTTGTGACCATATGACTTTTCTTCACTTCATCTGCTCTGACAGGTATTCTGCTCTCTCATGATTTAACTCCTGTGGCTAAACAATATCCAGTCTCTATGGCTGACGGTACATTTGTCTGCTATTTCTGCTGGTTCTCTTTTGATTTAAGACATAAAACCTCCCCAGATCTTCCCAAACTGTCAGCACACATATTGTTCTGACTATTTCTTGATAATAAAGTAAGTAAAGTCATCTCATATGCCTCCATTGATCATATTAGTTCTTTTTAGTGAAACTCATCACTCAGGTTTTCCTCAGGCTGCTTTTTGGTTTATATTACAGAGACTGTCACTGTTGGAGGTTGCTATCCAGAGTACAAGGTTTAACATTTCATTTCATTAAAACTGCTTCCAGTCAGGGAGCCTAAACTTTCACAGGGGTAGGGAACCAAACTCTATGTTTGTATGTTTATTTTGTGGTGAATACACCATAAACTATTCCCACTTTCACATGTGGCATTCTATTATCTTTTGGCCAGCTGCTGCACCTGCCGACAGGCTGTGTAGCGCAGTGAGCCATGCACTGCAGCAGCTGAATATATGAGGATGTGTTATACTGATTGATGCACCTCAAATCAAAGAATTCAGGAAACAGCATCTTTTTGTTGTTGTTGTTGTTGCTGCTGTTAAAATGCAAATAACTTTCTAAATGGCCATGTGTTATCACTGCTGGATCTGCATCTACAACAAAAATACTCACTTTAAATATTAATATTAATTGGTCAGTGCCTTAACCTTTCACTAAATCAGATTTTTTTTTATCATCCTAACACAACATTGCGTTATTGTATGTTCCCATAGAAACACAGCTTGATGTTTTCAGTACAGTTTCACATGCTGATGTGCAGCTCTCTCACCGCTCCCGTGCTGAGCTACTTCAGATCTGCCTCCAAGCAACAGCTTAAACCCAAACACGTCATAGCATTCTTATTCAACTCCTACGTACTGAAAATGAAAACCTAACCCAAGATTTAATTCACATTAAAGATCAAGTGTGTCTCCCATCTCGCTTGCTCTCTCAGCTGTTGTTTGTATCTCACTGCATTGAGAATTCAGTACAAGGCCAGGATGTGTTAAGACCATTATGGGTTTTAAATCCTCTTGTAATCATGTCGGCAAAGATGATGTGACTACACTGAGCCTGCATCCAATCTCTCAGAGATTATTATTATCGGGCTGTGATCAAAAACATATCAGAACACACCTGCTTTCTCATCAAAGATCAGCTTCCTCCCTGTTGCCCGTATGCACAGCTGAATACTCTCCAGAGAACGACCACTTGCTGTTAGACAGGATCTGCCATCAAAACTTTTCATCAACCATTTGTATGACATTCAATTTGTCAAAGTTTGCATTCAACCAGGTATTTTAGTGGTTCTGAACCCACACACACATACACACACACACACACAAAATCTGAAAAAGACCACTCAGTGAGCTGCCAAGAAATAGTAGCACACCTCTGAACACAACAAGATTTAGCCTGAGATCTATATTAAAACCGGAAGTGAGACAGCTCCATATGACAGCTTGAGATAAATTAGTTTCAACTGAATATGCAATTAATGCCATCTTAGATTATGCTTTTATATTCTTCCATTGAAGCTATAAAATTATTTACTAATAATTAGAGAGGATGCAACATGCAAGTTCACCTCTGTTCTATGACACATTTTGTCTGAATAATTCTCTAAGCACCGTGGCTTTTTTGGATCCAATTAGTTAATTTTTTCTCAAGGCACAAAACAAGTCTATCGCCACAAATAAAGGAAGTGAAGGTCAAATATGACTGCTCCTCTGAAATGGCCATCAAACACAGAGCAGGCTCTGCAGAGATGAGCTGACGTCTCAGTCAGCTCACTTAAAGAAGTAACGTAGGAGTCTGAACTCTCTTGCTAGGTCTTTTGCTTTATCCAGAACATGCAGGTAAAAATGACTGGAGTCTCTCCTGTCTTGTTGAACATGCAATGAAGAGGACCCTGATCAATTAGGTCTGCAGAATTAGCCCCAGTAGGAGTTGTCATGGGGACAAAATCAATGGTATTCAAATGAACATCACCCACACTACAGCAAGCGAAGCGTTTTCTTGAGATTACATCAGTTAATCCCCCTGTTGTAAGAACAGATGACTGGGATAACGTGAAAAGCTGTTTCTCCTCACATCTTTCTCCTTTGAGGCAAGTCTTTAATGTCTTTTAAGTGAAGCAGCGTGGGTGTGGTGCAACATGCAACCTCCCACACTCACCTTGCGGCAGGAACACGCTGGTAACCCTCAGGGCCTGCTACACTGACTACAACATGTATGAATAGTACCTTTTATAGCTCGATCTGCATTTTACTGGCTTAATTTACAATTCAGTTAAACCACTAATTTCAAGGGTTCATCCTGCAGCTGCATGCTAAGATCAGCGTGACTGCTCTGTTGAAATAAGCACCAATTCAGCTGAACTCAGCTACACTCGGTGCACAATGCACAGTAGTTATCCCAAAATCAACCACCACAGGTGAGTCATAGCAACATGACATACAATATAAGTCAGTAGAAGAATGTAATACAATACGCACTCTGGTTTTAGGTCTGTTTTTGGTCTCCACACACTCTTTAGGCAAATAACCGATTCTTTAGGTGCTAAATGCTCCACTACGTTCACCAGCTAGAAGCTAACTTTGTGTGCTGCTGAGCAGGTAGAGTACATTGCTGACAGATTTGGAAGATTATGAAACATTTGTAGCGCTTCTCTGTATCACTATTCATTTCTCTGACTACCAGAAGTTTTGACTTTACAATGAACTGTTCATCATGTTCATAAAGTCTCCACTCCTCCTCCACAGTTGATTTCCTAGAAGAGATTTTTTTTTTTTTTTGGTCACCTAACAATAGACTCCATGAAGGTAAATGGAGCCTGGTGGGAGTCCTGAGTTGAGCCCTCAGCAACAAAGGCAATTATAGCAGGCTTTTCAAAATAACAGATCTGACTAAAGGCTCAGTCTCTCCTTTCCTAAATCACATCTGCGCTCTCACCTTCCACAACCCCAGAACATGCTCACCACAACCTGGATGACCTCAGACAACTGCTGCACTTTTCAAAAGCCAGCACTTCCATAATGTGATCCATTCATTGTCTGGAGCTGATGTATAAAGGCATTGATTATGTGGGTAGAGTCTGAAATAGAGAAGGTTTTTTGTCTTTACAACAGAGATGATCATTTAAGTATTCAAATATCAAAGGCCTTTTCAAACCATATAGTACAGTAGCATACACTCTGGCTGTAAGCTGAAAACACACATAAAATCCATATGTCCACAGAAAAATATCTTTTCATCAATTTTTTTCTGACTTACTTTCGTCAGAACCCATGTTCTCCTCCATGTTTTTGATGTAGTCATCCTGAAAAGAAAATATACAGTATATGCATTAATGGATTTAATAATTTGTAATAGGAAACAAAATGGAAGAAGAATGGTCTTGTTCTCATACTTATATACTGATACATATACTGATTTTTCAGTCATTAAAAGAATAAAATGTACAGCCACAATAATGACTACCAAAGAGAAATTACATTAATTTAGTCATGTCTTTCATTGCTATAAAATGTCATTATTTTGCTGATGACATTCAATAATACTTTATAAAAAATCTTAAATGACTTTAAGATAATGGGTTTAAGTTGTGTACACCTCTGTGACAACTACAGAAATTCAAACTGCTGATGAAGACAATGTGATACAGTCCAAAGCTCACAAACAAATATGTCAGTGGACCTTAAATTGAGATTATTTGGCATATATCTGTCTTTGCATCACTACTGTCACACACACTGAAGCTCTTATTTTGTAGAAATGCTAACTACAGTAGATTCCATAAAGATGATATCCTTCTTTGTTATTATTATTGTGGTGTTGTAGATGCAGTTTGTGACATTTAGTAAATGACCAGACCAAGACTCTTAAAGCTTAACCGCATCTCATAAAAAGACTTGGACTATCTGCACTGTTGCAGAGGGAATATTTGCTAACTAACTCTGCTTTTTAGATTTGGTCCCTGGCGGCTTGCACTGGAACGATAATAAAAATTTGGCATCCCCTGCTGTATCCATTCTGACCCATTTCTCTCTGTGTCACGACAGAGAGGATCAACTATAAAGCAGTTTCTACTGGGCACGAGGCCTAGACAGGACCCTGAGGACCGAGTCTGCTCAGTTTAGCTCAGTCTTATTCTGCTTAGGGGACACCAGGACTGAGCTCTCAAGTCAAACCAAACAAGGATAGCCAAACACATCTTAAATAACATGCACAGGGTAAGGAGCAAGAGGAATAGGGTTGTTTTTATACATGTTTCTCTGCAGTGAAATTATAGTTGTGAGTCTAAAAAGAAGAATACATTTTCATTCATGAACCAAATCACATATTCATTTTATTATCGATACCTTTATTTGTTTTCTGTTGACACAGTACATGGCTGTACTTGTAGCTTTTATGTTCTTATCTCTTTTGACTTTATGCTGCAATTTTCCACTATGGCAGACAATGATTTTGTATTATATTGTACTTTTTGTGCTTTTGCCAGGATTCATTGGGCAGGTGACACCTAAATCTTAAAAGAGACATCAAAGGAAATACAATGCACTGTGCACAGCAAAAGAGACACTGACCTCGACTTCCTGTGGCAATGACAGGCAGCAGTGGGAGAGAAAGAAAAAGAAAGCCAGTGTTAGAGATTAAAAAAACACACTTTACAGTTTTAATTTTGCTTCCATTCAGCATGCAAACAGTGGGTTGGTTTATTACAGTTATGGCAGCAGTTAAACTGTCAGTCCTTAATGCACGCTGATTGCAAATACGTGCCTTAGTCTAGCTTCTCTCAGGGGACAACATAAGACATTCACAGAGGGTTATGAGCGCCTATTAACCGAAGATGATCAGCTGCCACTTCTATGAGCTGGCAGGGGTCCTGATCACCGAGGGTTCATTCTCTGGCTGTGTGTACAAGCGACTGCCAAACACCAGTGTCCTGCCAGCTCAGAAGTTGTGGAAAAGCCATGATGTACCAAATCGGCCTTGGAAAGGATACAGACAAATTGGTGGGAAACTGCAGTCAACAAGCAGAAGTGCTTTAGATTTTTTTTAAATAACTGCAGCAGATACATGGAGCACATTTACTAAGAGAAGCTTTAACAACACAGACATATAGTTCCTGTAAAGAATAACCTTGAATTAACAGAAGAATATGACGACTTTCCTTTCAATCCATTTCACCATTTTGGCTCCAGTCCAAGGGCATTACACAGCAATACCCACTACAGACTCTCCTTGTGTGTTTCATCATTCAATGCTGCGACGCGTTTGAGAGAAATCTAGCACTGCATGGTTTATTTTAGCAACTCAACTGAGTAAATAAACCTCATTCTTACACACACACACACACACACACAGAGTGATATCTGTCTACTTAACAGTGCTGTTATAGAATCTTAAATATATCGCTTTTGAGTCTTCACCGTGGGATAAGTCGTCTCCTTGCCTGATTTTGTCTCCAGAAATATTCCCTCACTGGATGTCGCTCAAACAACCTTGAAGAACTTTTGCATCGACAGAGCTGAAGTCATGCAGCTCCAGCTGCAGCCTATAGTACATCTATCGTTTCTGCTCTTCTGTCTCTCTGTTATTTCCTGTTATGTCTGATGGCGTGTCTCTACCAAAGCAGGGAACTGTTGATACGTTACTGTACACAAACCACCAGAACTGGGAAGTTTGATTTTATCTATACTTTCCACTGTGTATGCTTTGGTGGCACTTCAAGGATGGAGGGTGGACTGGAAGGAGTGGGAAGTTGGTGACTCAGTGTGACATTAAAACATATCAGCATCAAAAATACAACTAAATAAAATAGACACGGTTGAAATTTAAGCAGATATATGACAATTAACCTAAATAAAAAGACATATGGAATAAATTTGTGTGCACAAGCCATTCTTGAATTTTAGTGTGTGAGGACACACTGATTTAAAGTTGTATTTTATATTTAAACTATGTAACTACTTGGTCTCTGGTGTTATCAATGCTGTAAAAATAAGGAACACCACAGTAGTATTGTATAACATGCGCTAGATTCAGAGCACTTTGTTTATATTCAACAACATAGGAAGCCCCGCAAAAAGCAGGGCATCAAAAAATTAGTTAAAACTCATATTGTTCCTCTCCACGGAAATCTTTAGTAAAAGGCGAAAGATTTATACGATCTGAAAAGAAACATGAGTGTATGACTTAACGAGCCAAACGTGGAGGGAGTCATTCCCCGACATACTCCCCATGGAGATGGTGCTGCTGCACAAATACAACTAATGGTTTTATGTTGTGTATGATTTAGACACGTATGCATGTGGACAAACAATATAAACGTTAATCATTTAGGGGAAAGATGTAAAATCACTATACTATATATTTTTTAAACAAACGTTTGAGAGCTTGCGCGCGGTGCATGCTGGGTAGCAACATGATCTCGGATACAAGTGGAATTTTGGGGTCGCTAGCTACCTTTGTTAAACCTTCAAATAGCAAAAATCAAAACAGTCGCCAAATAACTTATTAACAAGTTTATTCATGAAATTAAAAACATAAATGTAATCTAAATGAGAATAAAAAGGTCTAGAAACAATGCGCATGCGCTGTGATCCCACGGGGACTCGAAATGGGTTTACCTCTTGCTGCTTCTGTTTTCGCAAAGCGAGTTGGTCATGTTACAGTTTTTCTAGATTTCCACCTTAAATTAAGTCTCAGCAAGCGTAACGTGGCAACTATTGACACTGAAGAACTGAAACAGACAGAAAAGTAGGCCTACAGCTTCTGAAACGGGTAACATGAAATGTTCAAGTCAATACATATCCCTAGCTGTCGCAGACTTTTGACCACTAGTGTTTATTTGTCATAGGCACAGTTAGGAAACGTCTTTCGACCTACAATGAAATTCTTACTTTGCCGTCGACATGAATGCCACACAGTGCAAATGAAATATAAAGTAGATAAATAAGTAACACAAAATTTGAGGCACTTTATGCAGGAAATGCAGCAATATAATAAAAAAATATATAATATGAACATAAGAGAATGTGTGCTGCATGGGAGCAGCATATGCAGCAGTAAACGGTCAATGTGCACTTAGATGTATGCAAACAGAAAACGTAAAAAATCCCAATACTCAGAAATCGGATTTTACCATAATGTTTTATTATATTCAACAGTTTTAGAAGCCCCGCAAAAAGCAGGGCATCAAAAAATTAGATAAGACTCATGTTGTTTCTCTCCACGGAAATCTTTAGTAAAAGGCGAAAGATTTATACGATATGAAAAGAAACATGAGTGTATGACTAAACTTGGCTACCTTGGAAGAACCCATTCCCTGACATACTCCCTATAGAGACGGTGGCACTGCATAAACACAAATACTAGTTTTATGTTGTGTATGACTTAAAAACCTGTGCATGTGAACAGGATATATGCGTTAATCATTTAGAAAAAAAACATTTGTTTCATAGAGGTAAATATTTTTTCTGTAGAAATGAAATTGTCCAGGTGCTGCATATATGAGAGGCAATATCACTATTTGTCATGCCTCAGATCAGCTGGATTTATGCAATTAGAAAGAAATACCTTAAATATGCCATGTTATCTCACTTATGTGGCATTTTAAATGTTTGCGCCACAGCAATGGACATTCAGGGTGACATTGTCGTATAAAGAGAGTCAAAATAATTGCTAAGTCCTTAAATGAGGCACAGAATCTGCTCAAAAAATGTGAAGTATCATAACATCCATCCTCATCATCAAAGATAACTGTCATAGTATGTCGCGTGTCAAAAGTAATGATTACTTAATGAATTATTCACAGTGCTTCTGCAATTACTCAGCTAACAGTGCTTTGGGGACCAATAGGAGCCCCACACTGTGTCCTACAGGCTGGAGTGCTTATCTTTTCCCAGCAGCACTGTGACAGCAAGGACAGCAGGCTGACGCTGCATTTAGTCCTTCACCAAGGTTGAGAGTTAATGCTGTCCTACTGAATGCCAGCCAGGCTGCTGCTGTTGTTCACAGCAAGCCCAGACAAGAGGAAGGGAGAGAGGGAGGGAAAGACCAGGGAGCAAGGGGGTATGATATTCATGGTGGAGGTCCCCTGAGTTATATGATTCATATCTCACACACAACCTCTTTTGCCATTTGTCAACAAGGCTGTAATGCAGCCGGTGTAAAACAGAACCAGGAGGCTAATGGAGCTTGACTATCCAGATGCTGCCGCTGCTCCTCCCAGACCACTCGCTGGTATTAGGCTGACAGCATCTGGCCGCAAGCCTGACTGCACTTCTCTGAGTTAATGTCTATCTAACCTCAACCAAGTCCTCTTGTCTGCTGGTGACATAAATACCACCGATAACCCTGAACCTCCCAACCCCAGCATCACCCACTTGCAACACACACACCCATCCTGAGCAGTGACACCAAAATGTTCATACATATCCCAGCTCTACAAGACAACCACAGGGGTCAAGTGAACTTTTGAAATGTGACTGGGAACCTTTGTTGCATGTCTCTCTTTCTCCACGCATTTCCTATCTGCCTCTACTGCAAAATCGAGCACAGAATGCAAAAGTAGTTACAGACTGATAAAGAACACATATGTCAGGAAGTGTAATGTAAATAATCGTACATTCACAAACTGTGCAAAGATAGATGTAACATCAGTCAGAAACTAAAATCAACAATGATTTGCCTCTGCTCACGATTGTCTGTCAACCTGTCAGTCCTGGATTAGCTTCATTGTCTTTTCCATAGACCTTCATTGTTCAAAAACAAATAAAAGTTATATATTTCCTCATTTTGGAACACAAAACCCTAAAACATCCAATTTGGTTTTAGTCTAGATATGGGGAGTGTTACTGTTAATATAGAAAATGACCAGCCTTATCCTTTAAGGATCTTAAAATATATGCATCACATTTATAGACAGCTATTTTGGGAATTGGAGATTGTGGTTCAAAGAGAGCTTAGCAGGAGAAGCAAATATGAGTACTGGATTAGTATCATAATAGTGCTGTAGTATTTGTATCTGAAAAAGTGATGCTGAGCCATCTGTAATGTTCGCATGTGTTTATTTACTGCTTAAGTGTTAGAAGTCAAGTGTGATTCACAGGCGATGCACTGCAGCCTTGATCCCTAACGTGGAATACAAACTGAGCAGAAATCTAAAAATGAAGGGAGTATCCTTCTCAAAAGAGATCTCAAAAAAGTATACATGCTGAAGAGAAGGAGCATGACCTCACTTCAGCTCAAAAGAGAAATGCTCACAGAGTAAAAGACATATCACAGGGAAACACCGCATCACCTCGCCCTGCTGCAATGATGCACGCGTCCTGCTCGCTCTGTCACTGCAGCTCATCTGTCCCTGTAGTGACAGGGTTGGTACAGTCTGGGTGCTAAAGGACACTTACACACGTGAATCTAAAATTAAACCTAAACCTCAACACACACACACACATAAGCCATTAAGCCTTGTCTGCTATAAAGAATGTGCTGGAAAAAGAGAAAACGCTTGAAATTAAACCAAGATGGAAATCAGAGACTGCACACACAGCCCACAACACCTCTACACACACACACAGCCCTGTACATA